AAAACAAATAGAGAAAGAAGTAAAAGTTTTTCTCAGAAGTATAGACGCATACGTATTTTATAAGATCGACAGCAAACTAGTGCGACACGGAGGAAAATGATTTTACTAATGACGAATAGAGCAATGAAACAATTTAAGAAAACAAACTCATTCATACTTATTGCGTCCTCATGTTCCGATCTTAAGACATCATTATGTCTTCATGTCATATCGAGGTTTTGTTTTATTTTTTTGAGATTAGCTCCTCTTCGATACGAGTAATCCAATTTATGTCGCGAAGAATTATTGAATGTTCCGACGGAAAAGATTTAATATGGATATTGTATGCTTTTTTTATACAATCTAAGGCTTCTACCATTCTATCTTGACCGTACAGAGCTGCTGCTAGGTTAGAATAAACTGCGGCTACTTCCAGATGATCAGCTGAAAGAGAAGTTAATTTGATCTGAAGTGTTTTGTTTAAATATTCAATTGCTTGTTCGTAGTCTTCGAGAGCACAATAAAGTAATGAAATATTATTGTAAGTTGTCGCGAGATCAGGATGATTAGAAGAAAGAACATTCAATTGGATTTGTAGAGCTTTACTATAGAATTCTGCTGCTTCTTCTAAGAGTCCTTTATTATAATATGCAAGTCCTAAATTATTGTAAGTTATAGCTAAGGATGGATGATTCGGTTGAAGAGTTTTTAGTTGAACTTCAAGTGATTTGTTTAGATATTCAATCGTCTTTTCATAATCACCTCGAGCGAGATAAACTTGTGATATATTAACATAACATGCAGCAACATCAGGATGGTTCGAGCGAAAAAATTTCAGTTGAATTTCTAAACATTTCTCATACAATTCTAGTGCTTCTTCGATCTTGCCTTGTTTGTAACATACGGTACCCAGTTTATTGTATTTGGATGCAAAATCAGGATAGACTTGCGAGTCCGAATTCTGTATTATTTCAAGGGATTTCTCTAAATACTCGTGCGTTTTCTCGTATTCACCAAGCGACTCGTACGTTGTCGACATGTCAGCATATAATAATGCAAACAATGTATGATTAACTGGAAGAACTTTTGCCCAGATATCTAGAGCTCTTTCGAACATCTCTAATGAATTTCGAAATTTAGCTTGGTTATGATAGGCTTCTCCCAATTTATGATAGATTGGTGCGAAATCTGGGTGATCTTGTGAACTATCTGAATTCATTTGTATCTGTAACGCTTTGTTTAAGTATTCTATTGATTTATTATTGTTACCATTTTTAGAATAAACTGACGCAATATTACTGTAACATAATGCAATGTTCGGATGATTTGACGAGAAAGTTATTAGCCAAATTCGTAGAGCTTTTTCGTATAATAACAATGCTTCTTCTATGTTACCTTGTTCCTGTGAAAGTGATGCTAGATTATTGTAAGTTGTTGCTATGTTCGGATGGTTTAATGGTAACGAATGTAGTTCAATTTGTAGCGCTTTATCGAAAAATTCAGCTGCTTTAGTAAAATTCCCGAAATCTTCATAAATTGTAGCAATGTTGTTGTACGTCCAAGCTATATCAGGATGATCAACTGGTAGGACTTTAAGTTGAATTTGCAGAGATTTCTCATATATTTCGCAGGCTTCTTTGAGTTTACCTTGTTTATAATACGATTGACCCCAATTGTTATATATAACGGGCAATGATGGATGATCGAGTGGAAGTGAAATAGAATGATTTTCAAATGCTTTCTCTAAGTAATGAATTGCCTTTTCATACTGGCCAAGTGCATTGAAAACTTGTGAGATATTTATCAGAGATGTTCCCAGGTCCGGATGATTCACTGGTAAAATCTTCAGTCTGATTTCGACAGATTTTTCTAACATTTCTATTGCTTCAGTATACTGTTTTCGTGTATTACATACATTTCCAATGTTACTATAATAAGTTGCAATATCTCGTTGATTCGGATTGATCATATCAAGCTCAGCTTGCAATGCTTTTCCATAGTATCGGTACGCCTTATCGTATTTCCCTTGATCATTATAAATACTTCCCAGATTACTGTATAGAATTGCTACGAATCTGTCTGTGTCGGGCGAATATTTTGACTTAATTTCCAGTGCTTTTTCAAAAAATTCGATAGCTTTTTCATAATGACTCATTGCTTGATAGACGGATCCAAGATTGTTATATAAGCTTATTAAATTAATCGAATTGCTCGTAAATGTCGGATCATCAAATAATTTTAGATAGTAATGTTCAGCTTTTTTATTGCTTCCCATTCCTATTAACAATCGTGCCAGACTCTCAAGTGGATTCGGTTGTATTATATCACTTTTAATAAATTCAGTTAGTGCTTGAAGTTCTTTATCTTCGTCATCTGTAAGTTTGAGTTGGACATTCCAATAGCCGCCGTTTTCGCTTATGAGTACGGATAATATTTTAAATACGGATCCCATCGTAAACAAAACTTCACCTTCTACGGCATCAAATGCACTTTCTGAGGTAAGAATTGCGTAAGGAAATTTATTGACGTGTCGATCTATATCAATTCGAAATAAAACACTCTGTTCTTCAGTTGTTTCGCTGCTACTACGAGTACCAGCATATACTTCACGAGCCAAGTTTTCATGAATAGTTGTAGAGAAAAAGTTACTCACGGAAAAAAAGCCGTTAGTATTACATCGAATTTTTCTATCAAATTCTGAATTATTCATTAGCTGCCCTCGATAAACTGTCATAATTTGTTGATTATTTCTTTCTGTCGTTGTCATATTATCATTTGTGATCGGTGTTGCTGCTCTCGCTAACTGCTGTTGTTTGTTGTGGCGTTCTCTTAGCTGAAGATGAAGATCTTTGATAAAATATCGTAAAGAATAGAGTGTATCTATGGTCTGTTCTCTTAATGCCTTGTTTAATAGACGATAAAGGAAAGTATCACGTGTATACCAGAAGATTGCATTGATTGGATCGTAATAGGCTTCAAATTCATCGATGGTATTTATATCTGCGTCGTTATCAGCACAGTTTTGACGAAAATATCTAATGATTTCTTCTTCAGTTGATTCAATGTCAATCAAAACGTCTCGGGAAAGTAGTGCATACATAAATTCAGCTTCTTGGCGTCCGGTTGCGTCCACAACAGATTGTGCTGATAAAATTTGACCAATTGCCCTAGAAGTTAATAGTGTAGAAAGAGGATCGACATGTACCTTCGATAGAATATTGAAATCCATATGGCCAAGCCATGTTCTCTGTTTTTTTTGTAAATACGGTGGTAGTTGGCATAAATGAGAACATAGTAATTGTAGATCCGTATAAATCCTATACGGTACTGTAGTCGATGCTGCTGAGATTGTAGCTGTAATTGTATCAATAAGACGATCCTCATTTTGGTCTCCCTGCCAGGACATGAGAATACTGTCATTACTCAATGAGAAGTTTTTTCCAGCAGACGTGTACCAGAAATTTGTTGATAGTAACGTATGTAAAACAAGAAATACTTTTACAACCACATTAGTAATTGGCCATGTAAATTGACGATGATTCAAAGATAGAATGTAGAATGAATCGATCTGGAAAAGTTCTGCAGTTCGTTGTAGAAATATTCTCAACGATTGACAGGTTGTTGAAGTCGAAATAATGACAATTACTTTATTCTCATTATCATTCAGACTTTTTATATAATTAACACATTTATCGATGTCTCGAAATGTAATCAAATACGGATCGATCTTGCACAACGATAGATGAATTGTACTTTTACCTTTTGACGAATAATTTCTGTATATAAGATCGAGCCATACTGTGTGAAACGTTTTCGTCATTGCCAATTAACTATATGTGCTATTGTTTTGGTACAATTCAGACTAAAAAAATACTTTAATGCATTACTGTATTTCATGGTGAAAATGAAACTATTTCAGAACGTATTACATCATGTATGACAGTAATTCATCTCGGCTTTTTCCAAGTAGAATAAGAAATAAAAACTCTTGCAGTAGTTTTATTAACATTTGTAACAGAACAGAAAAAGAATATAGCCTACAAGGCATACACTTTTCAATGATTCATACTGAAACCAGCGTGCAAGATTACAATTCTACTCATTGAATACTCTATCCGAGTATGTGATGAGTCATTTATCTTCATTGCGAATACGATCATCTCATTGTTCCATTACTTCGTCGGATGGTCAATTTGGAAGAACTACAACTATATCTATAGACGTAGTAAGAAGGGAATCGTGTTCTGTTGATGGCTTTGATTTATGGTATCAGTTTCTCAATTGTATGACACAAAGGAACGCGAACTCATGGATGTTGCACGCCTAAAGGTTGACCTGGCAGAAGGACAAACTGTGCTTCGCATGTGAGTCTCAACAGTAGTCTGGTGGTGCTCCTGCGAAAGAGTGATTCAAGATCGAGAACGGTGTAGTAATGGGTGGTAGTGTCGTCTTCTTCCCTCTCTTCAAAGCCAATGCTGATGCCTTGTCAGAGGAGCACGTTTACGACGTTGAAGAAGTTGTCTGATTGGCGTTTTATACGAATCGGACATGTCCATGAAGGCGAAGAGAACATTTGAGATTTGTCAAGGTACACTACACTTACAACGCTGATTCTGACTAAAAGATCAGTTTTCCAGGCTACATGACGGAAGTCAGAATCTTCTGATTATATGTGAAAAACACCTGAAATAAACGTCGAGATTCGTTTTAGACGTCTATTATGCAGTTTTTTTGAAACATTTTGCATTGCATATCGTTTGATTCATATACGACGAGCTCTACAAGATGAGCTAATAAAATTGATGGCACCAGTAGATTTGCTNACGACCTGGAGACAAAGACGATGGTGATCGTCGACCAGGTGGCAAACCTGAACGAGAAGAAAAGAATGATAAACATTGGCCCAGTCGCAGTAATGATCGGGAGAATTCGGATAGTAATGGTGAGTAATTCTTTCCATATCTAATAAATAGTCATCAATCAGTTTAGTTAAAGAAGTCCCATGTAGTTCATTGTGTTCTATCGTAAAAAAGAATTCTGATTATACGAGAGAGATAATACAGAACGGTTCGGTCTAAGGTTTACTATGACTAATATTTTCTTCTGATCCGTTTTGTATTTTACGTTTTCATTTAACTAATCTAAATCTGGTAGAATGCAAATATGATTCTCTTACACGTTAATTCTTCAATTACGAAAGAGAGATTAAGAGAATAGGGTAGATGATTACGGTCCTCTATTCGTATCAGGAAATAAACGTTATTCTCATACTGTTCACGATATTTTTACATATCTTTTTCTTATAATTAGATGTCAATGTGAATGTCAACGTTCAAATTAGCCGTGGTAATCCTCGCCGAAAAGATCGTCGTGAACGTCGTTCGCAAATCGAAGGTAAAGATGACCGCCGAAAACCCGAGCACGAAGGTTCAGAAAAACCTTCGAAATCTGAAGGAAGTAGTCGACCACCACCACCTCGTCCAGACGTGACTGGTGAATCATCATCAGAACAAACTGAATGACGCCAAACGACATTGGTAACAGAGCAATTATATTTTAAAAATACAGGACTGATTATTAAACAACATTTTATTTTATCAATTGGACTTCTTGCTTTTTCCTCATACTTTTACTCTTGAAATAAACTTATGGAATCAAATAATGAGTAGATATATGATTACTTGTTGATCCAAATAACCACCAGAAGGATAGGGAAAAGGGAACAATCGGATTTTTGAGGATATGAGATGCTGGGTGATCACCATATTCACAAACCCGGCGGCAGAATGTCAATTGCTACACATTTTGTATGCGGTCTTTTTAGGTGTATTCTGTTATGATCTTTGGCTCCCATCGGATCGATCTGTTGGAAACTATTGAGTCCGTCATCAAATGGCTTAGAATATGTTTCAAATTGATAAAAAAAATATAAGAAGTCAACGCAGAAGAAATAAATGGATGTTGACAAGATTGTTTTTTATCATTTAGGCTGTTACGATTCATGTTTGACGATCATCGAGTTATGGTATCATTTTATGAGCCGTCCAAATAGCCACGCTTGAGTGCATCAATTGAAATGATCTGGCGATTCAAAAACACTAGAAATGAAATAATTTGCAACGTTTTTAGACTATAGGAATCAATAGAATTAATGTTCTTATCGAGCTAAAATTAGCTGTTCGAAAAGATATGTTTTAGAGAAATAAAAGCAATGTATTTGTATGTAAAGTATCGCGTAAACATTCAAATGAAAGTGAATATTCACATTGCTTTATAGTGACATGAGAGATGAACAGATTTATTTCTCAAGTGTTCAGTCTCTTCTACTACTGAAATGTTTCTTCGAGAAGCTACTGTCTACTTACGAGATTCGCATCTGATGCCAAAAAGGACGGGAACTTTTAACCCTTTCTGGCCGACTCGCAGAAGACAACAAGAACGAAATGTTAATACTGCATATTCTGCATCTTTTATATATGGATGCTAACATATTCCATCCGCAAGTTCAAAGAATTAACACAGAGCTGTTTGTCGACATGTTGCCACTTGGCAACATCCGGCCGAAAGGGTACAAAAAAGTTTAAAAAAGCCAGTTATTTTTTTTCATAGATGGGCAATAATTTGGTGACAGTTCTATTCTATATTGTCAAAATAACGCATACTTAACTCGTCTATCTATCTTATGGAGCGCTATGATGGAGTAGATCGCAATAATGTCAGAAAACTGATCCAAATGTCATAAATTTCAACAGTTCCACTATAAATCATTATCTATTCAGGGAGATTCTAACATTATTCACAATACATCAGAGTATCTTTACGCAGGCTATCATACAGCATTAGAAATCGTGTGAAAAATTAATCAACAAATGAGTATTTATAGTGGAATTGTTGAAATTTATGACATTTGGATCAGTTTTCTGACATTATTGCGATCTACTCCATCATAGCGCTCCATAAGATAGATAGACGAGCTAAGTATGCTTTATTTTGGCAATATAGAATAGAACTGTCACCAAATTATTGCCCATCTATGAAAAAAAAATAACTGGCTTTTTTAACTTTTTTGTACCCTTACGGCCGGATGTTGCCAAATGGCATGAAAAACTATATCTCATCGTTTTAAGAAAAAACTTATATTAACATCAGTAAAATATTGCCAAATGGCAACATCCGGCCGTAAAGGTTTAGAGAACAACCATGAGGAGAAGAACGAACGAAACAAGTCAAATAACCATATAGAAAAAATATATCGATAAGGTCTAGAGAAAGAATTCATTATCAAAGAGTCAATACAAAACCTTCTATTAACATTCTGTGGAATTAACGACTTATTTAATCCATGACAATCTCTTTCTAATCATAGTCAAACAGTAAACTTCAAATACTTCAAAGTACCGACAAATACTTAATAAAACAACAATGCGTCGTCGTCCAATTTTTTTCATTATCGGGATCAGCCTACTCATCCTTATTTGTCTTTAGACTTTCTTTCGAACGTCATCATCGTCAATCATTCCAAATGCCAACACAGATCCTCCTCTTGACAAATTCACTCAATGTTTACTTCATGCTCAACAAACATTCGCGAATCTCTCGTTACCTTGGTTTCTTGCCTTTGGCACCGCTTTGATGTATTATCGATCGAACAATTTCATTTCTGATGATATCGATATTGGCATTTATATCGATGACTTGCAAAAAAGAAACATTACGGATGAAACATTCATTTCAACAATTTTTGCTCATGGATTTAAATTATATACGAAATACGGAAATCGAACACATGGTCAAGGTTGGACTTTGTTGTGTCCAAAAACGAAATTACATTTCGGAATTTTTGTCTTCTATCATTCGAATGCACTTGAGAATGAGACATTCTCATGGTGGACTGCATCTTACAATGGACTATGTAATCAGATGAAATATCGGAAATGTCGATGGTGGTTTTCAGACTTTCAGCCATTGGCTTTGCAAATGTATGGTAAATCGTTTCAAATAGCACCAAAACAATTCCTAGTCGAGCAATATGGACCAAAATGGATGACTCCACAACGTTACGGCTATTTCGAATCGCTAGAGTTTCTTCCTAATTTGATTATTGAGCGTTGAAATACATATTCTTTTATTTGTTTGCTGGTAAAAAGAACAATGGGTAGTTTGTTATATGTTTACCGGAATGGTGCGGGAGTGAACGAGTTTACGATAAACATCCTCACGTTGAAGAAAATAAACATGATAATCCGTGTATTCAAATTTAATTACTCAAGTTCTTCCCTTTCTTTTCTCCGGGTTCTATCGATTACATCACAGGACGAAACAGAAAGTTATAAGCACGGATGCCTCTAGAACTTTTGCAATATCAAACCACTCGCGGGAGGTTATTTGCTTATTAAATGTGCGGTGCATAGTACCAAGCGACAATCGCTTCTATTGGCCAACTTAGTATTTCCTCACAATTTCCGATGCGTCAGCAAAAAATACTAGAGTAAAATTCTTCTTTCTATTGATGAAAATTCTCTCACCAAGCATCTACATACGCACAGGCTTATAAGGAAAACGAATATTAATAAACGAGTTTTCTATGAGATAGAATATGGATATAGATGAGTATTTAATATTAATTGACAATGAATTCTTCTTGTGGGTTAACATTAAGCTGCCATAAGTCGTTGACATCGTTGGACTATTTTCGTCTGTAGAACTTGTAGAAATTCTCGTCGAAACATTTTTGACGTTAAAAGAAAATTCGGAAATGTCAATGCAAAACCAAGATAAACCATATCATACAAAAGATTATTGATAAATGTGTCCATCAATGCACGGGACCCTGTAAATGAACTAACACCCGCATATGAACGATAAATTGTGTACACCGGATATGGAATGTTTGAAATCACAAAGAGAATCACTTGACTGAATAACATTTTATGAAGATGTTTCTCTTTTCTCGGTGACCGCTCAGTCTGAACAGACTGAGCCGTGCTGTTATCTCTCGCTGC